CCGGCGTGGCGGGCCCGGGCCCCCGGCCGCTAACCTCTCGCCTTTGCCCCCCCAGAGCCCTTCCGATGAGCGCGTGAGCCGGGCGCCGACGGCGGGGCCCGGGCGCCGCCGCCAAGATGGGCATGAGGATCAAGCTGCACAGCACCAACCACCCCAACAACCTGCTGCGGGAACTCAACAAGTGCCGGCTCTCGGAGACCATGTGCGACGTGACCATCGTGGTGGGCAGCCGCTCCTTCGCCGCCCACAAGGCCGTGCTGGCCTGCGCCGCCGGCTACTTCCAGAACCTCTTCCTCACCGCCGGGCTGGACGCCGCCCGCACCTACGTGGTGGACTTCATCACGCCGGCCAACTTCGAGAAGATCCTCAGCTTCATGTACACGGCCGAGCTCTTCACCGACCTCATCAACGTGGGCGTCATCTACGAGGTGGCTGAGAAGCTGGGCATGGAGGACCTGCTCCGGGCCTGCCACTCCACCTTCCCCGACCTGGAGAGCACCGCCGTGCCCAAGCAGCCTTCCCTGGTGGCAGGTGAGGGGCGTCCAGGCTCCCTGGGTGGCCCCTCGGGGGACCCGAGCCAGCCCCCGGGGGATGCCCGGGGCAGCGGGGAGCCCTTGGGCTCCGAGCGGGGTTATGTCTTGCATGGGGAAGCAGCAGGCAGCTGCAAGGAAGATGCCCTGAGCGACGCCGGCCATGGGCTGCCCCTGCCGCACCCGGCGCTGTCAAAGGCCGAACAGGAGCAGGACTTGCCAGCACAGTTTGCCCCTGCCGTGAGCCTGGGGGCGCAGCCCGGCTTGGGCAGCACGAGTGTCGCCGTGAAGACGGCCGCTGGCTCCTGCCCCTCCTACAAGGTGCAGAGCAACGGGGACCCCGGTAAGGGCGGCTTCTTTGCCACCGACGCTGCGCTGGACGTGTCGGCAGGGAGCAACTCATGCGCCAGCAGTAGCGAGCATGCCAAGGAGCCGGGTTTTGGGCAGCTGGACGAGCTGCAGCTGGAGGAGCTGGGGGAGGACGAGCTGGCCTTTGAGGAGGCCGGAGAGGAGCTGGGCGCACCTGAGGAGGTGATTGAGCTGAGCGACGACAGCGAGGAGGAGCTGGCCTTCGAGAGCGATGGGCGGGACGGCCGTGCTGTGCCCTGCCAGGTGTGCCGCAAGGTGCTGGAGCCCAACATCCAGCTCATCCGGCAGCACGCGCGCGACCACGTGGACCTGCTCACCGGCAACTGCAAGGTGTGCGAGACCCACTTCCAGGACCGCAACGCCCGCGTCACCCATGTCCTGTCCCACATCGGCATCTTCCTCTTTTCCTGCGACATGTGCGAGACCAAGTTCTTCACTCAGTGGCAGCTGACACTGCACCGGCGTGAGGGCGTGGCTGACGGCCACGTCATCGTCCACCCCAGTGACCTGCTGCTGGGCAAGCTGGGCGCATTGCCTGCGGCACCTGGCGCAGAGCTGGCCTGTGCTGCATGTGGTCGGGCGCTGCCTCGGGACTTCCATGCTGTGCGCAGCCACGTGCTGGAGCATGTCAATGTGAAGGGGCAGGCTTGCGGGCTGTGCGACCAGCGGCACCTCTCGCTTTGTGGCCTCCTCTGGCATGGCCTCTCCCACCTGGGCATCTCCGTCTTCTCCTGCTCAGTCTGTGCCAGCAGCTTCGTGGACCGGCACCTGCTGGAGAAGCACATGGCCGTGCACCAGAGCCTGGAGGAGGCCCTCTACCGCTGCCACTACTGTGGCCAGAGCTTCAAGCTGGAGGCCGCCTACCGCTACCACGTCAGCCAGCACAAGTGCAGTGGGAACCTGGAGCTGCGGCCTGGCTTCGGCGACCGACTCCCGCCTCCCGGGCTGCAGAAGCGCAAGCTGCCTGAGGAGCTGCTGGGCGAGGAGCTGAGCCCGCCGAGCCAGCCGGGCCACAGCAAGTACAGCTGCAAGGTGTGTGGCAAGCGCTTTGCCCACACTAGCGAGTTCAACTACCACCGTCGCATCCACACGGGCGAGAAGCCCTACCAGTGCAAGGTCTGCCACAAGTTCTTCCGCGGCCGCTCCACCATCAAGTGCCACCTCAAGACGCATGCGGGCGCCCTTATGTACCGCTGCACAGTCTGCGGGCACTACAGCTCCACCCTCAACCTCATGAGCAAGCACATCGGCGTGCACAAGGGCAGCCTCCCGCCTGACTTCACCATTGAGCAGACGTTCATGTACATTATCCACTCCAAAGAGGCTGAAAAGGGCACTGAGAGCTGATCGGGGAGGAGCCACACGGGCACCCCAGGGCCACGGTCTTCTTTGTTCCTTCGCTCTCATGGGTGGCGTGGCTGGGACCCTCCTCCTGTGCCTGGTGGGGGGTGGGCAGGGGGGCCATCAGTTGGATCCCCCAAGAGGCCTGTTGCGTCGGTAGCTCTGTGTCGGGTCAGGGAGCAGCCACCAGGCTCCATGTTGGGCGCTCCCTGCTGGGTTTGGGGAGTACGTGAGGAGTCGTCTCTCTCCCTGCCCGCGTGGCACAAGACTTCACCCAGGTTCCTGCTGCTAAGGCTCTGATGCCCGGCCCTGAAGGGCAGAGCTGGGGGATGGGGGGGGGCAAAGCCGGGCACACACACACTACCCGGGGCTGGGCCTTTGCTGCTGCCAGAGGAAGTCCTGTTTCAGCCCTGGCCTTGGCCTTGCCTCTCTGGAGTGGGGGGACCAATGGACCTGGGGAGGGTGAGCCATGGCCTCCCAGTGCCGGTGTCGTCGCAGTGCCAGTGCCAGTGCCGTTCGAGAGTAGGGGAGGTGGAGGGGAGACAGTGCCTGCCTGCTCCGTCCCTGTGGGGCCACCTCGGACAACAGAGCTGGCTGCTTCCCCTGCTCCCACCCCATAGAATGGGAGATTATCATGTCGTATTTGCATGGCCTCGAAGCCGGGCCCCATCCCTGCCAGCTCCGCAGCATTGGTAGGGGGAAGGGTCCCCGTGTGATGCCCCTGGGGGCAGGGGTGTGGGGGGAGGATTGAATGTTGCAGGTGCCCACCAGGGCCTGCTGCCCTGGGTAACTCGTACTACCTCACGCAGGCTGTGCCTGGCCCCAGCGCCTGGCGCCTAGCCACATGCGCCATTAGGAAGCCGAGCGAGCTGGTCGCAGACACTTTCCCTGAGGAGCCCATGGGAGCCACCCCTGCCCCGGGCAGCGCTGAGCCCGCATGGCCTGGGGTCCTCTCCTCTGTGGCTGTGGGGAGGCTGTCTCACCTCTTTTGCCTCAGTTTCCCCGTCTGTAAAACGGGGGCAGTAATACTTGTGGTACCTACCTACTGACCTACCTCCCTGGAGCATGGTGCAGTGCTGGCCCCTATCCAGCTGGCCGAGAGCTCCTGTGATGGGCAATGTCCTAGGGTGCCCTTTATCCCACTCCAGCGCCAAGTGACCCCACTGGGTCTGGTCCCTTCCGGCCCTGCTTTCCCGTGATGCAAAGGACCAATCCTGCCTTTGCAGGAGCCTTGGCGGGAGGGAGGGGTCTGGGGCTGTACATGGAGGCCCCTGCTGCTAAGCCCAGGGGCCCTCAGTCTCAGCCTGGCACCCTCCCTCCCTGCCCTGAGGTCCCCAGTAGCCCATTGCCCTGGGTCCCGGATGGAGCATATGGCCCCAAGCTGGGCAAGGGGAGCAGGGAGTCTGCGATCGTGCTGTCCATGTAACACTAACCAGCTTGGGCCCCTGCCAAGACCAGCTTTCAGCTGGTAGATGAGCTCCTGGCAGTGCAGAGCTCCCACAGGCAGCCAAGTTTGGGGAGACAGGGCGCATCCTGCAGATGCCCACCATTCTCCAAGCCAGCTCCCAGGCTGGGCAGCTCCGTCCTCCCATGCACTGTGGAAGCAAAACACTATTGCTAACGGGGCAGGAAGGTGGGCCTGGGGAGGCCAGACTCCTGGGTTCCCTGCTTTTGCTCCGCTGCTGACTCTGCAGGGGTCTCTGGCCAGTCTGTGCACCTCTCTGCCTCGGTTTCCCTGCCTGCGGGCAACCAGAGGACAGTAAAGAATTCCTACCTCACAGGGGAGGCTGGGGCCACGTGGCCACGGAGCGCCGGGCCCTCAGGGCAGGGGATGGCAGGGTTAGCTGTCCGGGTCCTGACCCTAGCGGAGCCCTACCCTTGCCTCCCCCTGGAACGATGCTGCCCGGGAAGGGGCCGCAGCGCGTGGGCCCGAGCTCTCTCCAGCCAGACATGGATGCCTCGCAAGCACTGCCCATACCTGCCCTGCCCTGCCCTGCCCTGCCCCTCTGGCCCGGCCTCCTGCTGTGTACGTGGTTCCTCTTGGCTGTAGAGTTTTGTATATTTTGTAAACCGCCCCCTCCCCCCGTCGCTGTCCAGCCGCCGTGTCCGTCGTGTTCTTTTCTACACCCCTCGCTCGGCACAAAGTGTGGGTTTATTTAGAATAATAAAATGGAAAACAGTGCCCGCCTGGCCCAGCTTTGCTTCATTCTTGTGCCTGGCGGGGTGCTTGGAGACATGACTCAAGGGCAGTAGAGCCACCTCGGGGCCACTCTGCGCTACTGCTTTCCTTCCCCGCCATGCTCATCCCAGGGCGGGTGGAAGCTGAATGCACCCTGGGCTTTTGGGTTGGGACAGGGTCTGACTGCTTTGGGGCACGACAGACCCCAGGGGATGGTAATAGAGGTTCAGAGCCCATGCTGGGGGGCACCAGCCAGTCTCCTGGGGTTTACTTTGGAATGCATGATCTGCCGGGGTGGGATTTTCTGGGGAGGCATCTTGGTGCCCCAGGCCTGGTGCTGCTCCACGGGGAGGGAAAGGACCATGTGGGGAGTGAGAGCAGTATGCCAGTGGCCTTGGCTGGCAGCCAGGCAAGGCTGAGAGCACTGGCGTGGCATGGCCCCCTTCCCCAGCTGGGGAGCAGCGCAGTGATCCTGAATTGAGGTCTGGTGGTGGCGGAGGCCTGAGCCTGGGGTACAGAGAAGCCCACGTGCCAGCTGGGCTTTCAGAAGAGACCTTTAATAGGTGAGATACACAGGGCTGTGACAGCAGGTGGGGGGCAGGGGCAGCCGGGTCTTATAGGGAAGGTGGGGTCACAGCTCTGGTTGGGGACTACTCGTCTCCGCAGAAGACCGTGGCAGATGAAGGAAATGGTGGTGGAGCCAAGGCGTGTCCGGGAGGCACCGATGGACAGGAGCTACGCACCAAGGCCTGGTGAGTGCACCCCCCGCCCATGGTCTCAGCCACCCCGTTGTGTGACACAGAGCCCAGGCATTGGGCACTGCATGCACCCATTGCTGCGAAGCCTCAGCCCCAAGCAGCTGCTCTGCCCAGCTAACCTGGGCAAGGCAGGCCCCATTCTGCTACCCTGGGATTCCCTTCTGCCCCTTTGCCCGCATTTCCCCGCCCCCCAGCTTGCACACCACACCCAGCAAAGGGAGAGACCGCGGTGCTGTTGCCTCCCTGCACCCGGCGACATGTGCCAAGGAGCCCAGGGCTGCCGGCTGCACGGTATCTACGTGTAAGGGCTGGATGAGTCTGGGACAAGGTAACAAAAGGGGCTGGGGGTGGTCGGGGGCCAACAGAGACTCGGTAGAAGGTCCCAGTGGCTGTGAAGCAGAGACCCTTGGCAGTGTGTCACGTATGGCCCTGAGCTAGGTCTTCTCTTCCTGCCCCGACCCCCAGCGCAGGGGGCGCCCATGGCTGTCCCCTGCCCCTAACAGCTCCGGGGCACTGTGAGAGCAGGGGGCCAACAGAAGTAGGTCCTACGTGTCAGGGCTGGGGTGAAAGCAGTGCCGCTTCCCCCAGCCAAGTCCTGTTGGGGCCACAGGGGTCAATTCTGCTCGGTGCTGGGAAGCAAGGGGGTCAGCTGCAGCTCTCTTCCACAGCCTGAAGCACAAGGGGGCTGTGTGGGCCTGGCCTGCAGGGGCTCAGGTGCCAGTGGAAGGCAGGAGCAGTGGGAGAGGGTAGGGTCAGATCCCAGATGGAGGAAAGGCTGCCAATAGCGGCTCTGAGCTGGAGTTGCCTCCAGCACCAGGGGTACAGGTACATCCTCGTGCCCTGCAGCTCCAGAGCCGGGAAGTCCCTGTCCTGCCCTGAATCGGAGATGCAAGAGCTTTGGCAGCTAGCCTAGAAAGTGTGGCTCTACCCTGGCCAGCTGCTTCTTTCTGGTGCTGTGTTTCAAGAGGTCTGGGGCAATGTGCCCGCAGCCCCCAAGATACCTCATCTTCCCTTTGCCTGTGGTCCCCTTTCCTGCGTGGCAGCGCCAATTTAAAGCAAAGCATTGGCCTGGTCCCCAGAAGCACGGATGGGGTGGTGGGGGGGTGCATCTCCCATCACCAGCAGATCCAGGACACTGGGGCCCCCCACTTCTCCCCCTACCCTGGACTGGCGCCCCCACCTAATTGGGCCCCACTGTGTCCTTGGTGATGATGATGGAGTGCTGGGTGCTGGAGGATGAGGATGCGTCCCTGCCACGCGCCCGGACCTGCTCCTTGGGGATGTACTTGACCACAGCGGAGGCGAGGCGGGCGCGGAAGCCCTTGCTGAGGAAGTTGTAGAGCAGCGGGTTGACGACGCAGTGCAGCAGCGTGAAGCAGTCGATGATCTCGTAGAAGAAGTAGAGCACCTGGGCCACGTGGCAGTGCAGGAAGATGTGGCTGCCTTCCAGCGTCAGCAGTGTCAGCATGACATGGAAGGGCAGCCAGCTGAGCAGGAAGGCCCCCACATAGGCGTAGACCACCAGCTGGTGCCGCCGGCTCTCAGGCTTGCAGTGCCGCATGTGCCGGGCCGTCAGGATGTTGCAGATGGCGATGATGGGGAAGGGCACCAGGAACCCCACCACGGTGGCCACCAGGCTGGCAGCCAGCGCCCACTGATCATAGGTCTCGAAAGGCGCCAAGAAAACGCACACTGGGTCACTGCTGTTCACCAGCTTCATGTGAGTTACCTCCAGGAAGGGGATGAGGCCGGCCACAAGCCAAAGGCCGGCACAGAGCAGGCGGCGGCCGCGGTGCTGGTGCTGACACCAGAAGGCGGAGGCGCCGGTGAGGGACACGTAGCGGTCCACGCTGAGTGCGGTGAGCAGGAAGATGCTGGCGTACATGTTGGTGAAGTAAAAGTAGTGGGTGAAGTGGCACAGGAAGCTGCCCCACAGCCACCTGTAGTCCAGCGTCACCTCCAGCATCCAGACGGGCAGTGAAAGCAGCACACCCAGGTCGGCCAGAGCCATATTGAGCACGTAGAGGTTGATGAGGTTGCGGCCTGCCCGGTGCTCCCAGTTAACCCAGATCACCAGCAGGTTCTCCACCAGCCCCACCACAAAGATGAGCAGGTAGAGGACAAACAGCACCACCCGCTTGACATTCTCGTCCAGGGGCACCTCGCAGTAGGTGAAGGTGAGGTTGAAGAGGTGCAGCAGCTCCGTCCAGTTGTGGTAGTCCCCGTCTCCCCACGGCACCAATGTCTCTGCAGGCGTGGGTGTCACCTCGGCCATGGTGGTGGCTGGGGAGAGAGGGGGACGCAGTGAACGGCTGCCGGAGCCAGGATCCTTCCCCCCCCCTCCACGCCCCCCAGCAACC